AGTACATCAAACAATTAACGATTGGGTTAGTCAAGTACTTAGACTTTATAAAGGTGAACCTTATTTGGAAGTTGAATGGATGGTCGGACCCATACCCGTTGCAGATGATGAAGGAAAAGAAATAATAACGAAATACAAAACAAATATTCAAAATGGCGGTTTGTTTTATACGGATAGTAACGGAAGGCAAAAACTTGAACGTAAAAGAAATTATAGGCCGACGTGGAATGTTAACCTAGAAGAAAAAGTAGCTGGTAAATTATTATTATCACCGTCACCAACAGCAGCACCAACAGCATCATCATCACCTTAAGTATTTATTTGGAATTTGTTTTCTGTACAGGAAATTATTATCCGGTAACGACTGATATATCAATAAACGATGATGATTTAGATTTAACCGTTTTTACTGATAGAGCAGAAGGTGGTAGTAGTTTAAAAGATGGCGATATCGAATTAATGCTTCATAGAAGGCTCTTACACGATGATGGTTTCGGTGTAGAAGAAGCATTAAATGAAAATGCATACGATAAAGGAGTCATAGCCAGAGGAAAACATTGGATATTTTTAAGTAATGAAAAAAAAAAATTTATAGAATTAATAATAATGATAATCGGATTATTTAATTTTCTTTGTTTTCCGGGTACAGGTTCGAAGACTGATTCGATTTGGGAGGAGAAAAAAATTTTATTCGGACGAGAAAAAATTTTAGAACCTCACATGGTATTGACCGATGTGGGATCTGTCAATTTTGAAACGTTACAATCGAATTATAAATTAGATTACACGGGAATAAGCGAACCTTTGCCATCGAATGCACAAATTTTAACGTTGGAACCTTGGGGAAAAAATACCCTCTTGTTGAGATTTGAAAATTTGACTCCGAGTCCTAATAAAATGCCCGAATATCCACAAAGCATTAATTTAAAATCTTTATTTAATGACATAATCGTGACGAACGTTAGAGAAACTGCATTGGGTAAATCAAAATTAATTAATAATACTAATAATCAAACAACGTGATAATTAATATTATTATTATTACTACTGTGTTTTAGCTGCCGATAGATGGTCGGATGAAGTAAATAGATTAAAATGGAAAAAAGAACCGAATAATAACACCGTCATAGTGAATGATGATAACGAAACGTTAGATAATTATTCGGAATCATCATCATCATCATCGCATTTATTTTTAAATAACGTACCCAATGAAATTAAAACGTATGTTATTAAAGTTCAACCGAAAAACAACTAAATAATAATAATAATAATAATTGTACTAACGTGATTCAAACGATTTTTAAATTTGTGACGTCACACATTTGACGTTTTATAAATAATTAATATAATTTTTTTAATTATTAGTAAATAATTTGTTTTGTTTTTGTTTAAATTAATTTTTTTCTTCGTTTCTCTCCCCCTCCCCTCCCTCTTAATTTTTTCCCGTGTAATGGGGTAGTAAAGGGTTAATATAAATTATAAAAAAATTTTAAATTAATTTTTATTACGTTAATAAAATTATTATTAATAAATCGTGTCGCTAAAACAAATATATATATATATAAAAAATAATAATAAATAAAATTTATCAGGCGATTATAAGAAATTAATTCGGGATTCGAATTTACTGTTGGTGACTGATTTTAACGTGTCTCGCCAATGCGGAAGCATCGACGAACGTTTTCTTACAATTCAAACATAAAAATCGAACGCCTTTGTGTAATTTCACGTGTCTCGATAAACCGCTTTGATGCACGAACGATTTATTACATAATTTACAACTGAAATTTTCCGAACCCGTGCGAAACCCGTGATTTTTCAAATGAGTCAACAAATTCATTTTTTGTGTGTAACTTTTTTGACAGAAATGACAATTGTAAGGTTTTAAATTTTCGTGAGTTAACACGTGCCTTTTCAATATCGAACCCTGACTGAATTTCCTTCCGCAAATGTTGCACTTGTAAGGTTTGGCTCCCGTGTGTACGGTCATGTGTCTCTTCAAACTGTTCGTGCACGTAAAACTTTTCCCGCATATTTCGCAATAGGGTACTTCTGCCACGTCTTTGTGAACTTTCGACAAATGTTCTTTCATCGCCGAATACATGTAAAATTCATCGGAACAAACGACACATTTAAATGATTTCACTTGCTGTAAATTTGTTTTTTCGACTATTTCCACGTGATTTTTATTACTGTAAACTTTTCGCGTTTTCGTTTCCGATTGTTTCGATTCGGATTTTTCTTCGCGAGTATTTTCACTGATTTCAATTACGCCGCCATCATCGTTACAAATAACGTTAAATAAAAAAATTTCCTTATCTCCTGCATTTTCCAATTCTTCTTCTTCTTCTTCTTCACACTTATCATCTTCATTGTCCCACAACTGATAAATTTCTCGTATTATATCCCCACCTTTATTTTCTGAATTTGATTTTATACTTACATTGTCACCATTTTCTTCATCTTCTTCTCCTTCTTCTTCATTTGTCGTTTTATCATCACCATTCGAATATTGATTCTGGTCATCATTTCTTACATCCAAAGGAACTATTTCGAACACAGTCAAATCTTCCTGACCATCATCCAATTTTTCTCCCTTTAGTATATATCTTTTAACTTCACTAATAATTGTTTTTTCTTTTTTTATATCATTTTGTACTGAATTTTGAAAGTCTTGAGTCTCCTCCATCTCTCCATCTTTATTCGTTTCGTTTTTAGCTTTCCCTCGTCTCTCATTTTCTTCTACGTTATTCGTATTGAGGTTGTCATCACTAGTTTCATCATTGACCGTTCCTCCAGAATCCATTGAACTGCTTTTGTTTTCATTTTTTTCATTCGATTTTTCATTCTGAAAAAATAATAATAATAATAATATTAAAAATGATTGAAATGAAAGTACATAACGAGTAACATAACTTTTTTAAAATTTACCTCAAAGACATTCGAATCGATTGCATCGCTAAAACTTATTCTATCTAATTTACATTCTTCATTTAATTCGGTTATTTCTAAATGTTCCCTCAATTTGGAATCGGATAATTTACATTTTTTTTTAAATAAATACATTTGTTCAACCATGGCTAAACATTCTTCACAAATGTTTGGTGGTAATCCATCGCCTTCTTCAACCTGAAACATTCGAATAAATTAAATTAATAAACATTCTTTTCAAAAAATTCCAAATTAAATATTCTACAATTGATAACTAAAAAAAAATTTTTTGTAAAAATAAAATAAAACTATATAAATACCAAAACATCAACACTGTAGTGTATTCGCTCTTGGTATGAAATTTTATTGTCTTGTATAATCGGTAATAAAACCATGTCGACTTCAGACAAGCAAAGCCTGCACATTTCATTAAAATTACTCGCAATGAATGCTTTTTTTAAATAACTAGAATTTTTACGAGAATAAGTCTTCATTATGATAAAATTAATATTATTATTTAAACATTTAAAAAGCAATGGTGTACAATAGGGGTAGTCGTTCTGTAAACTGTATTTAAGGCAACGATAAATAGGTTATGCAGTGTTGCATGTTTTACTTTTAGGGACCTTAGATTAGAAAAAAAATGGAAACGGTTTCAGTTTTCTTCAAGCAATCTATCCCTCATTATTTTGAAAAGTTACCTATTCCCGATTCTTTTGGAGGATGGTTTCGACTTAGCTGTAAGTAAAACAATTTAATTACGATATTAATTTTGAATTATTTTTATCAACGGTAAATTTGTTACATTTTTTTTTTTTTTTTTTATATACATTTTTCTATTCATTTACCTGTTGGCACTACAATTGAAAATTTGCTGATATATTAAGAACACTACAAAATTAAATCAAATTATCTCTAATGATATTATTTGCAACAACAAACTTTTTATAAATTATTGTAATTTAATAACAATACATCATAATAAAAAATTAATAATGGTGATTTTTTTTTTACACAGTTAAAGATTGGTTATCATTAGTTCCATTAGGTGCTGCCATAGGTGGTGTAAGTTATGTTTCTTATCGAGCTTTATTCCCTAAAATAAAAGTTAATCCATCACTTCATAAAGATAATCCGAAACATGTCGATGTTGTCGAAGTAGAAAATATGGGAGACAATGCAGCTCTTTGTAGATGTTGGAGAAGTTCAAAGGTTTTTATTACAATTTTTTTTTTTTTACACATAATTCCTACATAAAATTAATAATAAATAATTTTTCCAATAGTTTCCTTATTGTGATGGATCGCACAATCAATTTAATAAAACTACCGGAGATAATGTCGGGCCAGTAGTTGTAGTTAAAAAGAAAGCTTAAATAACATTTTTGAAGCCATATTATTAGATGTAAGTTTGAATTATTTTAAAATTGTTTTATAGTTTCTAAAATATTTTAAATTTTTAAACATATTTTTATTTTAGTTAATAGTAGCAATATCAAAAATGAGAAAAAGAGATTTGCAATCATTATAAATTTATTATTTTGGCTGAGAAATAAAGAAAAAAAAGGATTTCTAAACTCGATAATTATTTCAACAATAATAAAAGCCATTTTTTTTTTAGGTGTCATTCTCTTATTAATTATTATGATTTTGTTATTTAGTATTTAACAATGTGTATTTTTTTTTTTTTTTTTTTTTTTTTTATATTCTAAATAGAATAGAAACAAATGTGATGGACACTTTTTTTTTTTTTTGCCATAACTTTAACCTTTGACCTTATGAAAAAAATATTTTTAATTATCAAATATCGAGAGAGAAAAAAAATAATTCGATCATTTCGATAATGATCATTTAAACACAAAATTTAATTTTTGTAAATTATGTATTTTTTTTAATACTTATTCTCTACTTTTTTTATATATTTAAAATAACTTAAATTACTAACAGTATTCTTTGTTTAATCACAAAAAAAAAAATATTTTTAAATAAACAAATTTTTTTCATCATAATAAATGTAATAATAATTTTGTACTTAAAAAAACTAATCACAAATATTATATAATCGATAAAATTTTCATTTTTATTTTAATTTTTTTTTTTATTTTCAATAATAATAAAATTGTAAGTTTTGTAAAATTTATAATAAATAAAATTTATAATGATATGTAGTTTTGTTATTTTGTTATGTTGTTGTTGTTGTTGTTGCTTTTAAAATTCTTTAAGTAAAACTGTATTCGATAAAAACATTTGATTATGTTCATTTATTGTTTTCTGTTCGATTAAAGAGAATTTTTCTTTTAAATTATTATTATGTTGTCTGGTATTATAATATTTTGTGTGTCTTTTTTTATTTTTATAAATTATAATTTGTTAGTAATAAAGAATAAGAAAAAAAGTCATAATAATAATAATAATCGATAATTGAAAAACAAATTAAAAATTAAATTTTATATAAAAGTTTTTTTTTTTTTTTTTTTTTGTAATCTTTATAAGAACTGAAACAATATTTGGATAATTTATATAAATAGATAAAAAAAAAAAAAAAATTAAGATGGCTTTGCACACTGTTTTAATATCTTATCAGTTTTATTTTATGATGAAAAAGTAAAAGTA